ATGTAGATTAGATGAAAATGCACATGTTAAACCCAGATTATAACCTCTCACCGCAAGCTGTGAAAACATTCGGCAAAGTAGCAAAGTGTTGTCATTTCTCAAAGGGCAATATACACACAATGGCACCTCTTATTTCAGGAAAGATGCTCCTAATTGTCCGTTCTCAGAGATATTCGAGTCCTTCCTGCTGTAACAGTGGCAAGCCAACAGACCGAGTGTGAGGGTAGGCGAGGAAGTGAATTAGGGCAGCGATTATGCAGTGATTCAGACAGCAGCTCATTAGGACCCAGCTAAGCAAGCAATCAACGAATCGATGTGACAGTGGACCCAAAAGCCACAGAAATTTGTAATAAATGGCAAAGCGATAAATTGGATTATCCACAGCCCCGTGGCCAAGCTCTTTCCTTTTGCAAATGACAAATCAATCCAATCACGCTATGAAAAAAGAAAGAAAGAAAAAAAAAGCCAGAGAACCAGAAAAGGCGCCTTGTGTTGCACCGACTGGGGAGGTTGTCCATCTGAGGAATGCGTCTTGTTAAGGGTGTAGCTATCTAGAGGTCATTTCGGTATGATATTCAGGGCTCTAAAATATTCATGGCAGCCCATTAGGTGTTTATGACTGCCATTTATATGGGAAGATTTACCGACATTTGAACTGCAGCCAGAATCATAAAGGTGTCGGGCGGGCCGCAGTGCTACATGTTTACTGATTTGCCGCGCAGAGCGCAGCTCAGTATGGATGATGTACATGAGCAGCCATGGAGCCCCAATAAATAAAATGCAGAGAGAGCAGAAGATCTCCTAACTCCTTGTGTCTCTTGTGCTTGTGTTCAAAGCATGAGCGATGGATCTGCTCCATTAATCCGTCAAATCGCTGTCACTGCACGCCACTATTCATAACCGAGGAGCAGGATGGCATTCTGATGGACAAAGAAGGGAGGATAGGTGGCTTATAAACTGTTCAAACACACAACAGCACAGCTGGTAAAATTGCAACGCAAAGATTCGGCATGTTTTGTTTTTGTTCCTAAGAAAAACAAAAATGCCGAAGGACTTTGCTGCCATCTGCAGGAAAAGGTGTCACATTTCATCACTGTGCCTAAGCAGTTGTTTGCTTTCAAGCAGTTCTAAGATTAAGATAGAAATGATTAAAAAGCTTTGTCTTCTCCAGAGGCTTTTGCACTCACTATGTTAATTATACATTTTCAAGAAAGTCTGTAGCAATATGCTACATCAGTACCAATGTGTGCATTCTACGTCCTTAAAAATAAACTTAATTTTGACTATGGTAAAGGAAATATAATTTTACAAAAGATTAATGAGCATTGAAGAGAAGCCAGTTATCTGCTGCCGCGTGTAAGCAGTACACGGGGAGCCTGGAAACTAATACAAGACGTAGTTTCAGTATTTGTGGTTTGCTACATCTTGTAATCTGTCTTATGTTCTGTTTCTTCTCTGCCATCTCTGTGTGCAGTCACAGCTCTAACACTGAAGGATTGATGTTTTAAAAAAAAACAAGCTCCCTTTTTTCAAATATGAGGACAACCCACTCTCTGCACTTTTCTTTCAATTTATCACTTCCAAATTTTAAACACTATTTCTGTTTTATCTCTTCTCGTATCCCCCTGCTTGCAATTCAGCTGATCTTTTTGAGTCCAAACACAAAATAAGCACAAGCTTTTAAAGCCAGCATAACTTTAAAGGTCACTGTGGTTTACTGTGGAAATATATATTTAGGGCAAGGTGTGTAGTGTTAGTTTTTTACAAAGCATATAGTCGTGCACTAAACCCATTAATACCACTAGGGGACAGTTTTGTAGAGTTCACAGCTAATAGTTGTCTTGTTGATGTATTTTCCTACCTAAGTGGTACATGTTCAAAGCTTGGGATCTTGATTCTGATATTCCTGATTGTAAACTTCTCCACAGCTTTATCTGTGATGTGTTTATTGTATTCATTGATATTGTTTGTACACTAATGTTCTCTACCAAACCTCTAATACCTTCACAAACAGATGCATTCATACAGAGATTCATTTCATCTTTGGACTCAATTTGTTGAGCCAGTTGATTACACTGGCACAAGGTGGGTAAGTGCATACAGCATCCTCACCGAAATAAATAAATAAATAACCTGCATCCTTTACTTTTTCACTCACAAATATTCATTATTTTGGGTTAGCCTAAAATAATATACCATTACAATACATTTAAATTTGAGGTTGTGGGGAGAAAGAATGTGAAAAATTTCAAGAGGGATGAATACTTTTACAAGGTACTTTAACATGCATAGTCGGTTTAGTTTATTGCTTTGTCACCTTGTTCTGTTATAATTATTTTTTCTTTTGTTTTAGACTTTGCTTCTGTTCACCCATCAAAACCTTGAAGTTTGATTTCTCGGTTATTTTAGAGAATTAAAACATGGGAATGCGGCACACAAGGTTCCCTCACAGATTCCTCTGGCACAGCATGTGTGTACAGATGAAAGTGGGGTTTGACACAGTGGCTGTGAAGAAAGCACAAATCCCAACCTAGGTTTTTGTCACTACCAGTTCCCATAAAAGGACAAGGAATGTCGCTGGTATAAACGACTGTTATGTAATGCCTTGGCTCTGATTAGAGATGGTTCTCGCTTACCAACCGTGAAAGTCCAACAGAAAAGTGTTTTTCATGTAAGGAGAAAAACAACTTTATAGCTGCCTCTGAAAACTCATTCGGACTTTGGTCTCCTATATCTTTTGGAACCACGGTGTTCATTAGTGTAACATGCCCAGTACTATCCAGATAATGTTTCCGTAATGGGAAACATGTGAGAATTATGGCAGTGAATCAACCCCCACAATCCTATCTGTTCTTTTTGTGCTCTCAAGCGAATTTTACAGTAATGATTAAGGATACATGAAACCATCTGCACGGGAACCACTAAAGCCCTCTTGTACTAGTGTACATTTGAACACAATGATATCACATTCCAGCAGAGTTAGAAGCTGAGAAATTAAGTTTGGGCTGAAAAATGGTGATAATGGGTTATAATTCTAGTTCAACCAGTTCAGGCCAACCCCTCTACAGGGAGCTGCATGTATTCAGCATTACTTCCGAGAGAATCGACACTCTGAAAATGTGAGCGTTACACAATTTCTCATTAGCCTGCCTCAATATGGTAATAAGAGGTCCAAAAAAATGATGTTTTAGCTGACCAGCAGCAATAATTTAAATTCGCCAATTAGGGATTTCAGTCTGCACGTCCCAGACTGTCATTACAGCTTTACTGGCGTCTTCTTGTGCTTCTGCTGAAGACACTGACTTATGCTACATTACATCGTGTAGTAATATACTGTTCTACAGAGTTTAGTTTAAGAAAAACATTGTGTGCTCAACCTTTTATAACCAACGACTAAGCACATTAAACAAGCTGATGATACACCTTTTTTGATCATCATAAAAGTTGTATCATTATTCTTGTCTCTATTAGAACTCCACACAATTTGTGGTCAATGTTATGGACAAAATTTAGGAGTCCTAAGCTAAGCTTATGTGACGTCAATACCAGTCCCCATCAGCCAAAAATAAATATTTTGGCCTTAATCAAAAAGCTGACTGGATGTCCAGGAGTCTTCTAGCCTTGTTAGGAGAAGCCAGGTTATGTAAACAGGAGTGACATAAAAAATGGTTCTAGTTATGCCTCAGACAGTGTTTCTATTTCAAAATCAGTGAGCGTTACACTTTTAAATCTCCTTTTTTGGACTTTGAGTATGTTTTGTACTGTATTTTATACTTTGGTAGCTATGAATACTGGTGCCTGGATATTAAATTGAAACAGATATTGTCACTTACTGTCTAATTAAGTTGGAGTGCTCAAAGAACATTTAAATGTCATTCTCTGACGGTAGGTTGATGCTTTAATATGAAAAACAAAATTTTACAAGATTGATGTTCATATTAAAGCATCAACCTACCGTAACACAGCCAGGGATAATGAAGCAGAATACTGAATTTCGCACCACTAATCCCTGTAAACAATATATTGAGAAAGAGGGCACGTTGAAAACGACACACTAATTGCTTCCTTTTAGTTTTAAAAACATATCATAACATAGTATAAAAAAAAATGGTTCATGAAGACTTCTTTTCTTGATTAACTTTTCTGTGATATCAGATCTTGTTGTGAAAGTTCACATTAGTTAGCACAACCGTTGACAGCAGATAAGTGGTTTTTCTGTAATGGTAAGTCGTTCTTCCCCCATTAGCTTATTTAGCAGTGAGCACATGAGATTGAGCAAAGGCATTAATACCTTTCACCTGGCTCTGACTGTTTGCTTTTGTTTGAGAGTGGTGCATTTCTTCAGAAGGCAATAATTGTTCGGGGAAGAGGTGGGCGAGATCATCTGAGATATTTTCCTAGATCATGTCTCATGACAAACTGTCACAACATGGTGACAGCTTGAGCAAATGTGTAGAAAGCTTTCTGTATAGAAGTTACACACCGCAGCTTTAAGAAAACATTCTTTCAAAACAGGTTGCTCAGGTTTTAGGTAAAAAAATTTTCACTCACCTTTTCTACTTAGCATATTTATGTAAAAAAAAGAGAGAGAAATATATATATATATGTATATGTATATATATAGTATACTGAATGGTAATAAAGCTTTATATATTTGACATTATTCACCTCGTTCTTCAGTCAAAAATCCTGGAGACATCAAGAACAATTATTGATTGGCAATTAATGACAATTGACAATTGATTCTGACACGTTTATTTTACATGTCATGTTTATTGACTGAAACAGCAAATAAAAACAAATCTAAAATACACAGTCTTCAACAATAGTTGCTACTATTACTATGCTCTTGGTGTGTGACTCACCGTGAGAAGACATCAGAAGAAGCCGCCTCTCTGTCAGTTAGACAGGAAGTGTAACTTACAATTCCTGCTTCAACATATCTTCACAGATGTCTGAGAATGACGTACGAGCGCACTTTTTATTTCAGTTGTGTTTCTCGGTGTGCTGGAAAAGAAGTCAGTGGGAACTCCTCTGGTCGTTTTTTTGTGCCATCATATTTTTGTCTCTTATCTGTGCATAACGGACAAATTTTTAGTTCTCCGTCCAGGAAGATATATTCAATGTCAGCAGTTAGGTAAGTTTCATTTCAACCACAAGCTTTCCTTCTCAAATCACTGGCACACAAGAGAGCAGTCACACAAGACAACAGACATAACGATCATGCTACTTGACAGGTCTGTTCATGTCGTTGCTCATTTTTAGTGGCAATGTATAAATCTAACTTGTTGATTTACACCAGAATAAAGTTGTGTTCTACATGCAACAACATCTCTTTGAAGCTTAACCCTGTAACTTAAACAATATTGATATGAGTTTATATATATTTACATATATATTCTCAAAGTAATTTTCATTTTTTGAGATGAGTCCTGAAATCCATCTCTCCAGAGCTGGTGTCCCGTAACTTTTAGATGTGTCTCTGCTTCAACACTCCTGAGTCAAATAATGAGGTCTGACGGTGAATGGCAGCAGGGAGTTTGAGTCATTTCCTCAGCTTTGATTGAATTAAAGTGGTCACATTACGCAACATTCTAATGTGAAGTTAAGGATTACAAAAGCAAAACTGAAGACATGTTGAATGTTATTTATCAGAAGCATCCAGAGAAATAAGTAGCATCTTAACATAAGCTATGCTATTGAATAAATTGAGCTGCCCCCTTTTCTTTGTTTTCTTGGCGAATTGAGAGGATTGGTAGCCTGATGTTGAGAAACGATTGCTAATAACTCAATATTTGGCCAACACAGACTGAACGGCTTATTTCACTTCCTCCACTGCCATTGCTAAAGCCACAAACAGACTACAATTCTCAAACAGCGCAGAACATAGATGTCATTGTTCACATATTCTTCTGTTCACTGATTTGCCCGGTAGAAAATCTACGGGGGAATCCAAGTGAAGGGGGACGACGACCAGACTAAGCTGTAAGCGAGGTTTGGACTGAGTGGATTAGTGCAGGAAGGCAATGGTGAGCCGAGAGGTTTGGGTACAATGTTGCAAATTTTATTTTTTTTTAAATAGGTTTAAAGTGCTTTATCTAAAATTGCAACAAATAACATCTGCTTTTCTGCTTCAAACATGCTGTGAATGTTTGTTGAAACATGTTCTGTGGGTTCAGATCAAAACTTGAGGTAGAAACATAATTATAGGTGGTGCTGCTTTTAGCTGCATAAAAAATCCGGTGTTGCCAGCTGAAATGACACAGTGACTGCTTCTTACTCTCTGAAACAGCTTAGGCAGCGTAACATCGACTGTGACATCTGAGATGAAGTTGGAAGTATTCCATCGAAACATGTCAGTCATGTCTGAAGAGGTATAGAAAATAGCTGTCCAACAAAAGAACCTTTAAGGTTCTTCTAATTATTGTCTTGCACTGACAATAACTGTTCCACAAATAATATTTTTTTATTTTATAAAATTGCATGAATTACAGCAGCCCTCAATACAATGGAATACAATTACAACACATTTCAATTTAATTTTTTTGTCCTATGGTTTAAATGTGGATGACAATATAAAATCTGCATTCATTTTGCTGACTGAATTGCAATAAGTATCAAACATGGCCACATTAATGAAATGGCATGGTGAATACCATGTGTCTGTGTTGACAAAGCAGTGAATTTGTGAGATTTTGCTGATATGGCTGTAGCTTTGCCTGAAAATGATTTACTATGAGTCACATTGCAGCTGAAAGGGAATAAATATTTAAATGCATTCTTATGAGACTCCGTTGCAGTGACAAAAAGACGACCATGTTGTATGCTCATAATAAATGCTATGGAGAAATGCTGTTTGGTGAATTAATATAAAACATCATCCAGAAATTCAAGCCCTCCACATGTTCATTACATCTTATTCCAAGACCTCTTGTAAAGTCCTACATTTTAGCTCTTCTTTTGGTTATTTCTGCCATTATCCCCTCCTCTCTTTTAGCTTCATTTAACTAATAAGAGTCTTCATGAACTATTCTTTTCTGGTTTCTGCCCTGGTTATGCAATCTGCTCGCCTGGGATTCACTAATGTCATAGTTTCTGGTCTGGTTTCTCATTCTACTCGATTTGAGTGCGGCCTTTTACATCGTCTCCCACAGTATTCTCCCTCATAAGCTTTTATCCATTGGCATTAACCACACACCCTTTGACTGGTTTCAATCATATCTTTCAGGCCATTCTCAGTTCATCCAACCAAAATCCTTCTGATCCCACTCTTCCCCTGGTTTGTCTCAAACGTATTTAAGTGATAAAGTGTCATGAGTGTCATGGGCACAAAATCCACCCTATCTAAAGTCAACAATTTCAATTTGTATAATGACAGCTCATTGGTTTCTCCCTGCCTTTAGGTTAAAAGCGGGTGTCATAAAAATTATCAGAGCTGCATACTTCTTTCTTTGTAACATCAACCAACTGCGTCATTCCCTTTGCCCATGTTTCGCCTCCATCCTGGTCCACAGTCTTGCAACTTCTTGAATTGATAATTGTAACTCCCTTTGGTCTCTCTCACTAATCCCCCCAGAACCTCAAATAGCCCAGAATTCAGCTGCCCATAGCATTACTAAAATCCTCTTATTTTCCATCATCACCCCTGTTCAACAACAACTTCACTGGCTTCCAGTCATATACAGAATCAAATTTAAAATGTTGCTGTACACCTTCCAAGCTATCCACAGCTTCTCCCCTTCCTGTCTGATCTCCTGTACATCACTCATTTACAATGTCTTTGTTTTTTTTGTTTTTTTTGTTTTTTTTTTCTTTTTTCACCTCACTGTTCCCTCTATATACAGCTAAAAATATACAAAATAAGCTAAAAATGTAAAATTTAATACAGGAAGGATTTCAGGCTAAAAGTCCTGCAATTACTAAAACCTGAACATGGGAAAAGCTGAGAAATTCTCCCTAAATGTTTTCAAAGGGTTAGTCTGACTGCACTAATACTATAATTTATTTTTTTTAGAATTACCATGAGGTCACAGGAGTAAGTCCATATTAAATAGTTTGCATAATTAATATGTAAAGTAAACTATACAAAAGAACTTGAACTGATGTTTACGAACTTTGTTGTGAAATTAGTAGAAGTTTCAGACTAGTCTGAGGTTGAACAATGGATCCAATTTCCAGCTTACAGTGACAAGGACAGAAATTGGCAGACGAGATCACAGGGAGGGTTACACGGCAGAGGACGAGTTAATTCACAGCATTCTGGTGAGTTCAGCTTAATGCTTTGAATATTCAAAAACACCTTCCTTATTATCATCATAAGCCCACAGAAGAAAGTACTGTATGGTCAGACAGAAACAGTGGGATGCACATTGTGGGACTCCAGCCAAAAAACCAAAACAATGATCCTCAAAGTTCACAAGTTCAGTAAGAGGTCATTTTTGTGTTGACTTCAGCAAAGATTGCAAACATGTTCTACTGGTTGCTAGAAACCAGTAGGCTAGTGATTATGCTAAATTTGAATTGTTTTATTTTATTTTACCCTTATTCAACCAGAAAAGTCCCTTTAAAATAAGATTACACAACAATTACAATTAGTTATACGATCAAAATGCTATGGATGTTTTAACTAGGTTGTTAATTACCCACAAACCCACATTTTGTTGTAGATACTTTCTAAAGAAACCAAGGAGGGACTTTTTCAGAGATGAATTCTAACTACACAGGGGTGCGATTGTATAATTTTAATTTACATAGTTATTATAACCACAATTTGCATAGGTTCAGAAAACATTCCCAGGTTTCACGCACACATTTTTACAACATAGACATATCAGAACAGCTTTCTATTTGCATAGCACCAGCTCTTCCATCAATTTTTGTTTGTGGGAATATCACATAAAAATGTTGAAATGTGATATCAAAATACAAAATAAAACGTGTCTGTGTTAAAAAGTTGAGCAACTATGGAACACGTCTGTGTGTCACAATGGCTGTAATTTTATTTTTTGTTGTTTGTTTTAGCTGTTATTTCACCAACAGGACAGTAAAATATCAAGATATCTGAATTCATTTTTTCTCAAATTATCTGTATTTGATAACTAACGAACCAGGCTGTATTGTATTAAATCGATTGTGCTCTGGATTTACAAAATAAAAATGGTCACAAATTATAGCAAAACTATACAATTTAAAATGGATACTTAATAGTTAGCACTATGGAGGGAAGGTCAAAACGCATAGTAGGTACAACATTTCAAGCGAAGATTGCAGTTGAAACTAAATGCAGTCTAACAACCATTGTATGCTGATAATGACATCCAGCTGTACCATGGTATGCGACCGCAGCAGAAAACCCACTTGTGTCTGGCCTTCTAGATGCTTCAGCGTGCTGTTTTTAATCTAAGCTTCACTCTGCAGGCCATCTGTTTTTTCTCCCTCCCCCCACCTAAAAAGCATCACTCACATACCAAGCGGATGAAGTCTTAAGGTTTACTTAAGTGTGATAAAGTGCAGCGATCCGGACACCCACATTTCATTCAACATCCAACAAGCTTTTATCAGTCACTCAGGCAGGAGAAAAGGGGATGCGGGCTTAAAGTCACTCAATAAAGTTAGCACATCCACTGTTGGACTCCCATGCTGTATTTACAGATCTGTACCCTGCTTTTGCTTTGTCCTTATGAACATTTTTCTGATTTACACGTACTGATAGTAAAAACCTGCTTGGGGACAGATTTTTTTTTTTTTTTCTGAGCTCGTAATCTTAACTTTTTTTTACTGCCCTTCTCTTGAATGAAGCAAATAAATAGATCACTACTGATGATATTAGAAGAAGCACAGACATAAATGAGAAAAATAAAGGAAATAATGATATAAAAAAAACATGTATTTACAGACTTTCATGAATTTTATTGGAATTTCCTGTGATGAAAGTGTGGCTTGGATTTGTAGTCAGCCCTCCAAGCTAATGTGATGCTAAAACACCTTTTATCATCACACATACTGTTTTGTATGTAGGCGAAAAAGTTTTGTTTCTTTTTTTGCATCATCTGGTTGAACCACCCTCTTCCACAAGTTTGCAGTGCCCTCTACACGGCTAGAGGCAAAATGCTTCTTTCAACAATTACTTTGATCCTGCTGCTTTTCCTCCCAGTTTAGACTGGATTAGTTCTCTTCTTCTAGTCTGTTAGCTTTGGTGTGAAGTCATTCTTTGGTAGGTTTGCAGTTGAGCTGTAACACATCAACATTCGGACGACAAACTGAAAAGTGCTGTGTAATATGATCTACACTAAGTATATTGTTTTATAATCTAACCCTGCTTTGAACTTCTCAACAATTTTAGCTCAAACTTGTCTGCTGTGTTCCTTGATCTTCAAAAGGTTCCATGTTTGCAAAAGGTCTAATAAACCTCTATGGTCTTTACTGAACAGCCGGATTTCTATTTTAGCAACTCCTTTAAATTAGTGAACTTTGTTTACTAATTTGATTACTCTGGAGGTAATTGGTTTCACCGGGATGTATTTAGTGCAAGGGTAAATTCATAGTTTTTTTTCCTTCTTTCAATGAAAAGCTTTGAAAACACTGTATCCTTTCATTCAATTTCACAACCTATTATGCTATTATCATTATCCACAAGTAGAGAGAATATGAAACAGTGGTGAACCTTCACAGGAATGATTGGTCAAGTAGTCACTTCCAGAGCACATTAACAACCAACATTCAAACAAGTTGCTGGTAAAATTATGTTTCATTTATTTTCATTTTTTTTCGTCGATTTGCATCATGAATGTACGACTTGTTGTCGAGTTCTGTTCTCTACCAGAAAATCCTGGACAGAGTTTGTCTGGACATTAGCTTGCTGCCTTAATGTCAAAGTGAATTTGCAGGAGAAAGATCTGAAGCACACCAGCAAATTAATCTTTTTAAAAGCTTTTATGGCAGCGATGGCCTTTATTTGCAGCTTTCAGACAGAAAATGGGCAGAGAGAGAAGAGGAGAAGACATGCAGCAAAAGTTCTAAGGTTGACAATCAAACCCAGGATGGCTCCATTGAAGACTAATTGCCTCCATATGTGACGCACCTGCTCTAGCTCTTTACCATGCACCATGAGCAAGTTCAATTGTGAATGACTCCTTCCCCTCCAAAAAAATAAAAGCACAGGTGAGGAGTGGTCTTGTCTAAGACATGATGCGATACAACATTAAGCACACCACCCAGGAACCCTCAGATGTGTTTGCATTCTGCAGAGAAGAGTGAAAAAGAAAACTTCACCCTCATGTCAAGACTCATTGCCAGTTATTATTTTCTTGATGACTATTGTTGTGACTAAGGACTTTTTCACATGGACCAGCTGCTTTGGATGTTATTTGTTGTTGTTTGTTTTCTGTTATTAGATAAAATTGTTCTTTTCTGCACTGTTCTGGAATTGCAGTCTGTCTATAGGGTTGTAGTTTTGCAATGGCACCTGAGGACATGAAAAAAGTCATTCAGTCCATGTTGGACATCCTTCCAAATATTGTGCGGTTCAAATCAGAACAAGAGGAATGTATAAGCATTTTATTACTCGAAAATCTGACATGTCATGGCCTTACACCCCATGGGTTTGTTTACTGCACATCATCGAACGCTACGGTACACGTCTCACTCAAATCTTAGCGACTAGGTAAAATGTAAAACTTCAACAGAGTCCAGACTCTCTGTACAGAGCAAAGGTTAGAACAAGGGGTTCGTTTTTACAAAAAGAGCAACAAATATCCTACCAAAAAGTATGCTTGTAGAGTGGTTGTGACTTTTGTGTTAATTATTTATCAATTTATCAACTACAATTTAAGTAAAGTCTTGAATTAATACTTTCATTTTCATTTGTTTAGGTGAATGAAGTGATTCCTGGAAGCTTGTACTATCTCTACATCGCTGAGTGATCAGAATTTCCATCTGATGAGCATCATGAATAACTCAAGCCACACCCCATCCTGCTACAACAACACCACCACTTCATATAAATATAATCCTGACAGCAAAAACGTTAGCTACTCAGCCACCGCCACCACTTTCGGCCTCATCTCTAATCTAATTGCCTTTATTGTCCTCATCAAATCCTTTAGACAGACAAACAATAATTCTCCCTCTTTCTTCCTCATCTTCCTGGGTGGTCTTGTAGTCACTGACTTCATGGGTCTGCTGGTCTCTGGCTCCTTCGTGATTTCATTTCATGCTACACGTATTGACTGGACAGAGTTAGACCCTACATGCCACTTTTGCAACTTCATGGGTATGTCCCTGGTCTTCTATGGATTGTCGCCTCTGCTACTTGGTGCCACCATGGCCACCCAGCGCTATATTGGCATCAACCATCCATTTGCAAGTTCCTCCAGAATGACCAAGAGAGGGACTATTTCCATGGTGCTGATGGTGTGGTTCATCGCTGGAAGCATATCGTTGCTGCCACAAGCAGGCTTTGGTAGTTACCACATTCAGACTCCTGGCTCCTGGTGTTTCCTCAACATGACCCCCAAAACAAGTGACTGGAGTTTTGCTCTGCTTTTCTCCCTGGTTGGACTGATCAGCATTGCAACGTCAATTTTGCTGAACACTGTGAGTGTGGTGACCCTGCTCAAGGTTTACTGTGGAGCACAGAGGAGACAGCGTAGCAGAGACCACGAAGCGGAAATGATGCTGCAGCTTATACTGATCATGACCATTTCCACGGTTTGCTGGTGCCCCTTGCTGGTAAGATGTTTTCTTCTTTCCTCCTTTCTTTTAGAATGACCCTCTCTGTGTATTTTCATGACTGCTGTTTTTTTGGGATTAATTCAATATTTACAAAGTCTTAGCATAAGAGATTCACGTATTAAATGTGAAATAAAATGGCTGCAAATTTATTTTAGTATAAGGTTGCTTCTACAAAGAGAAGGATTTGACTTAAACTTTAAGTCTTCTGTCCTCTTTTTCCATCTCACTACTACAGATGTTTAAACCCTAATAAGGCATCAAGTCAAGCTCTTTTTCTCTGTATTCTTTTCTATGCTTCATTTGCTTGTCGCAATGTAGCCCCTTGACAAGTGAATCTGAGAGCAATTTGGTTTTAGCTTGCATCACAGGTTCCTTTAATCCCTATTTTGACTTAGCACTTTTCAGGTTGTCAGAAGGAATGAAACCATGCCTTTAAAGGAAATGCACATTATGTGAACCATTACAACATACTGTATATTCAGTGCGGCAACTCATCCCACTTCACAATCTTTTAGACTCTACTGTGAGAAAAATGTCACTAAAACTATGAAATAACAACCACATTGTGAAACAGCACCAAGTTTTGACCAAAATCAACTCACTACTAATTGTCTAGATCAGATAGAGAATATTAATAATGAACATATACAATACTGCAGTGGCCTGGACAGGTGGCTGATGGACCTGTGTAGACAATAGATGAATATATGTATTTATAAAGTATTTGTCAATCTGCTTGCAAAGACTCCTCATTTCATCGGCTTTTAGTAATTTTCCAAGACATTATGTGAAAATGTCCAAATTCCCTTTATTTAAATCCCATGTGTGTTGGAGCATGTGCTGTTATGCAGTCATGTCTAACCCTACTTATGTAACATCCCGGCTGATTAAGCAGAAAATATAAGACACCTGTAGTCTATTTGTCATGTGAAAAGAAGCTTTTTGTAGCATGGTTTGTTGACACTGGAGAATTTGAGCATAACATTAATAAAGCAATGCTTCATAAAATGCAACAATTTACTTAAAGTAAGTGAGGTTAACTGTTTTACTGTTGTCCCTACTCCACAGGGAACATGACACAGTTAGCAACTAACTCACATATAATTATTTTTCGGAATTTGAGTATATTTGTAATATTAACCAATTACATCCTTTTTCCTCTTTTTTTTCAACTTTTCCAACTCTTACTAATTTTCTATTTGTATCCTTTATTTTTTGTCTAATTAATCTTATTTTCCATCTGCTGACCTTTCTTTTCAATGTTATACCCAAACCAACTCTTCTAAAATCTTTAGGTCTTCATTGCCGATAAAGCCATTGCCAGTACTGGTTTTGAGGGGGACAAGCTGCATTGCTTGATAAAACTTGCAGCCTGGAACCAAATCCTAGATCCGTGGGTATACATCTTGTTTCGCCGGTCAGTTTTGAAGAGAGTGAACCCTTGTGCTGTCTGGTCCCAGACCTCCATCATTTCTTTGCCTTCATCTATACGTGACAACGTCCATCGATTCGCGCGGACTTCACTGGGAAGCAACCTGCGCGCGGATGTCCCAGAGGATCCTGAAAAATCAAATGTGATGCCCCCCTCTCCAACAACACCATCCTCACCTTCTCCATGTTTGATTGGATCTGAGTCATAATTACAGCAGAGTCTGCTCTGCTGTTGTTTTTCATGATGAATGTGATGAAATGAACTTGCATGGTTGCACAAACAATGTGAAGCAACTATCTCCTTGTGGCTCTGTGTGTATTTCAGATGTCTGATATCATTTTTCTTTTACTGTATGAGCTTAATACAAAGACTAAGAAGCATTTACTTGTGTACAAATATATAACTTATATTCAAAAAATATACTTCAACTGGCATCATATGTAAAGCTAAGAATGAGATGTGTAAGCTGGCATTTTTCAGTTTTTCCTTGTGGATTTGGTATATTTTATAAGCAGCTAATACGTTGCTTATTATGACATAAATATGTTGTAATATTATGTGTAAAAAGAATTGTATGCAGTTTGAGAATTACATGTTTCAATATCAAAACATAAGAGTGGTCATTAAGGAAGCTTTTCTGATCTTTACAGATCAACAAAAGCAACTTCCTTAATATTTTCTCCTGTTTCTTATCTATCCGCCCATCCATCCATCCACATCTGCTGATTGCAGGGTCATAGAGGAGATGATGGTGGTTGGACTGCTGCCTATCTCCAGCAGTCATTTGGCGAGAGGTGAGGTACTGTACATGTATTTTAGTATGAAGAAAAAAATAACAGATATAGGACCCAAAGCACAGACCACCATACGCTGAATATGTTTATAAAAATGAGCTAATGTGATCGACAGTATTACCATCTGCTTTGTGACATTTTTTTGTGACTTTAGTGAAAGTGAAAAAAGAAACATTTCAATTTCTTGTCTTCTTCAGTGATAATGTAAGATTTAACAATGTGATAGTAATGTGCTTTTTATTCATTGCACGAGACATTAAAAGTATTTAAAAATGTGGTTTGTCTTTTGTTCTTCAGTGTTATTCTGCCTTAAATAGACATTATTCTGCCTTAACCTCTGCTTCTCAGTGTTGGTGTGCAGTTCTGATCAAAGCGTAAAGAACTATCTTAGAGATAAAAGTACTATTAGGGACACATTTGTAATGCTAACAATTACATCGCTACATGATTATTAGCTTTTTACAAATAATTAAGTTTGCACCAATGACTTTGACTAAAGGCCTCAAATTCTAGATTTTGGCAAAATATTTGGATCTTGTTGAATCAATAATTGTATCAGAATTTTCATTCATCAGTTGCATTAAAAATATGCAAAAGAAATTTGATTCAGCTTAATGCTATGGCTGAAATAGTAACTTAAAATATAGTAATTAGACTTACAAACTCATAGAACAAACTGGTTAAAAAAAAGGTTGGTGAATTTAGTTCTTTTTTCTTTTCTTTTTTTTTTAATCAAGGATTGGATACAGGGAAAACATTTAAAAATGGCACCAATTTTCATTTCCAGATCTTAAAAATTTAATTATTTATTAATGTTACTATATAATGAAATCTCCAAAAGTCAACCTTTATTAATAAATAATAAATAAACTTGGAAAATCACTTTCACCGTTGCCAAGCTAAATAAACAAATAAAACAAATTGTAATGTTTTTTTTTTTTTTTTTTTTTTTTTTTTTTTTTTTTGATTGTAAAACCTTTCCCCCCCTTTTTTTTTTTAAAAATTTTTTTTGTTTCCCCCTTTNATGTGAAAATGTCCAAATTCCCTTTATGTTGGAACATGTACTGTTATGCAGTCATGTCTAACCCTAATTATGTAACATCCCACGCAGATTTATATTCTGATGAGTTCACTGAATCTCCCTGCAAGTGATGACATGCTTTTGTTCTTCATTCGAATTGCCACCTGGAATCAGATACTTGATCCCTGGATTTACATCATGATAAAAGTGTGCAAATTAAGGCGAGTAACAAATTACATGTATCGAAATGTGATGGCACAGCTGAAACAGTCACTGTTCACCCCCTCATGTCCTAACTGTGAGCTTCAGCATGCCTGCTACACCAGCATGTCAGTGCCATCTGTAATTAAAACCCATGGATATGTATTTGTACAGTGATGATGCCAAACCACCATCCACGTCATTATCATGTAACTCACAACATGTTATAGTCTCATCATCTCATGTCCCATCATAATTTTATTGCAATTGACTCTCCATTCTGTCCCACTCAGATAAAGGTGCAGTATGTAACTTTTATAAACAATGTGGTTTTTCTATTAATATTTTTACATATTTGTTAGAACTGTCACTATGACCTGACAATATAATATGAAACAATCTGTGAATATATATGCGTGTGTGTGTGTGTGTGTGTTATTATTTGTTTATTTCATTTGTAAGCTTCTTTGAGTGTTTGTAAAAGTGCTATTATTATTATTATTATTTGGTTTGGTTTATAAGGATTTTTCCTTAATGTTTTAAACTGTAAATATTCTCTGCTGCTGTAAAAGCTTCTCTACGCTTATCTAACGATTTGCATGCAACCATTTATAATGCAAAGATGTGGATCTGCACTTATCAACTGTTTGCATTGCTTAGACAAGAGCAGCATTCTAACGCCGGCTGAATGTTAAACAGAACATATAAGACACCTGTAGTCTATTTGTCATGTGAAAAGAAGCTTTTTGTAGCATGGTTTGTTGCCACTGGAGAATTTGAGCATAACATTAATAAAGCAATGCTTCATAAAATGCAACAATTTACTTAAAGTAAGTGAGGTTAACTGTTTTACTGTTGTCCCTACTCCACAGGGAACATGACACAGTTAGCAACTAACTCACATATAATTATTTTTCGGAATTTGAGTATATTTGTAATATTAACCAATTACATCCTTTTTCCTCTTTTTTTTCAACTTTTCCAACTCTTACTAATTTTCTATTTGTATCCTTTATTTTTTGTCTAATTAATCTTATTTTCCATCTGCTGACCTTTCTTTTCAATGTTAGGTCTTCATTGCCCAGACAGCTGTTGCCAGGACCCATTTTAATGTGAAATATCTGCTTCTCTGGATACGTTTTGCAACCTGGAACCAAATCCTAGATCCGTGGGTATACATCTTGTTTCGCCGGTCAGTTTTGAGGAGAGTGAACCCTAATGCTGATTGGTCCCGGACCTCCATCATTTCTTTGTCTTCATCTATACGTGACAACGTCCATCGATTCGCGCGGACTTCACTGGGAAGCAACCTGCGCGCGGATGTCCCAGAGGATCCTGAAAAATCAAATGTGATGCCCCCCTCTCCAACAACACCATCCTCACCTTCTCCATGTTTGATTGGATCTGAGTCATAATTACAGCAGAGTCTGCTCTGCTGTTGTTTTTCATGATGAATGTGATGAAATGAACTTGCATGGTTGCACAAACAATGTGAAGCAACTATCTCCTTGTGGCTCTGTGTGTATTTCAGATGTCTGATATCATTTTTCTTTTACTGTATGAGCTTAATACAAAGACTAAGAAGCATTTACTTGTGTACAAATATATAACTTATATTCAAAAAATATACTTCAACTGGCATCATATGTAAAGCTAAGAATGAGATGTGTAAGCTGGCATTTTTTAGTTTTTCCTTGTGGATTTGGTATATTTTATAAGCAGCTAATACGTTATGTAAATATGTTGTAATATTATGCGTAAAAAGAATTGTATGCAGTTTGAGAATTACATGTTTCAATATCAAAACATAAGAGTGGTCATTAAGGAAGCTTTTCTGATCTTTACAGATCAACAAAAGCAACTTCCTTAATATTTTCTCCTGTTTCTTATCTATCCGCCCATCCATCCATCCACATCTGCTGATTGCAGGGTCATAGAGGAGATGATGGTGGTTGGACTGCTGCCTATCTCCAGCAGTCATTTGGCGAGAGGTGAGGTACTGTACATGTATTTTAGTATGAAGAAAAAAATAACAGATATAGGACCCAAAGCACAGACCACCATACGCTGAATATGTTTATAAAAATGAGCTAATGTGATCGACAGTATTACCATCTGCTTTGTGACATTTTTTTGTGACTTTAGTGAAAGTGAAAAAAGAAACATTTCAATTTCTTGTCTTCTTCAGTGATAATGTAAGATTTAACAATGTGATAGTAATGTGCTTTTTATTCATTACACGAAACATTAAACGTATTTAAAAATGTGGTTTGTCTTTTGTTCTTCAGTGTTATTCTGCCTTAAATAGACATTATTCTGCCTTAACCTCTGCTTCTCAGTGTTGGTGTGCAGTTCTGATCAAAGCGTAAAGAACTATCTTAGAGATAAAAGTACTATTAGGGACACATTTGTAATGCTAACAATTACATCGCTACATGATTATTAGCTTTTTACAAATAATTAAGTTTGCACCAATGACTTTGACTAAAGGCCTCAAATTCTAGATTTTGGCAAAATATTTGGATCTTGTTGAATCAATAATTGTATCAGAATTTTCATTCATCAGTTGCATTAAAAATATGCAAAAGAAATTTGATTCAGCTTAATGCTATGGCTGAAATAGTAACTTAAAATATAGTAATTAGACTTACAAACTCATAGAACAAACTGGTTAAAAAAAAGGTTGGTGAATTTAGTTCTTTTTTCTTTTCTTTTTTTTTTAATCAAGGATTGGATACAGGGAAAACATTTAAAAATGGCACCAATTTTCATTTCCAGATCTTAAAAATTTAATTATTTATTAATGTTACTACATAATGAAATCTCCAAAAGTCAACCTTTATTACCGGAAAATAAATTACATGTAACTAGCATAACTAACATAGCATAGTTCAAGGCCAATATAAGTATTGGCCTTGAATAAGTAACAAAGTATAAGTAACAAATACAATTCCTAAATAAACTGGAGACTCCTAAAAAGTCACAAAAGTACAGAGCAGCCTGGGCTGATGAACGATTGGTCATTTTTAGAATTTTGCCATATAATTAAACTTTGAAAAGCACTTTCACCGTTGCCAAGCTAAATAAATAAATAAATAAAACAAAATGTAATGTTTATTGTTTGAATTTACAATTTAATTTGTGCAAATTAGTTTTTTTTGCTGTTGTCTATCAAATGCTTTCGCACCCATTTATGACTTTAATAATTCTTTTGTTTGCCTCAAAAGAGGGCAAGGCTATGTCGGATAACAGAAACTAAACCTACAATATGCACTAATCTGTTTTATAAAAATAAAAATATACTAAATTCAGGTTAACTTTAAGACTTTAACATCTCAATGTTTGTGATGTTGTTTTTAATATTATTTAAAAGTTAACAAACTGCCCCGATACTTGTCAAGTTAATAGATGTCTGATTGTGAGTCATCAAGGCATTTTAGTTAAATAGAGCTTTTCTCTCCCTGGATTACAGTACTTGCTCTGATGGTTTTATTTACTCAGTGAAAACTGACTAGTGACGTGAACCATGATACAGTATAATTAGTCTCTGCAACAAACAATTGCGGTATATTTGTATTCTGTGTTTAAAACCTACATAAATAGGCAAATTCAAGAGACCATGTTAATACATGTTCTTTTAATAAGAGTAGATATGAATGTTTTCATTTTACTGTCGATATACAAGCAGTGCAAAAACCTTTTACATGCGTAGAAGATCAAATGGATACACAAACTCCTTTGATCTCCTCATTTTGTTACGGGAAGTAAAGGGTTGAGTTTCTGTTTGGTTGATCGTGACGGATAATCTGTTTCACAGAGCAGGGTCATTTAGCTGGGAATATTCCCATTGGTATTATATGTTTCCCATAAATTGGATTAATGTCTGAGGAGGTACTTTATTTTCAAGACCTTTTTAGTCACGTGCTACAGGGATGGTATACGTCCAAAGATGTATAACATTTGTAGGAAGAAAATAATTTGTAAACAAATCATTCTTTGTGCAGCTCTTTTTTTATTTTGCCAAGCACATAGGCACATGTGCTGAAAACAATCCAGCGTCAGCAGAAGCAGAACCACTCCTCAGACTGGAAACAGCCGTCTAACCCACGCAACAAGAAACCAAGGACCTAACACTTTCCTCTCAATTACAATTTGGGAAATGGAAAATGTGTAACCTTTCCTCATTGACCTTCAACACATCACTGCCTACCTTTGAAGTTACTCAAAAACATTTGTGTTTTGTTGTGCCCTGCAGGTTTCAACTGGGGAATTTTGGCATGCTGCTGTTTTTTTAACTTCTTAGATTCCCAGGTTGTTTGTAGATGTCTACTATCTCATTTTTAAGTGTTTTTTATGATGGTCCATTTGTGTTAGAGGGAGGGGCCTTAACCTTTTGTAATCTCTGATCTTGATGTAAGCATAAAAATGTGAATGCACATGAAGTAGAGAGGAATTTCAAAGTGTTTCTGAGTTTTCTGTGTTGCATTTATTTTACTAACAGTGATGATCCTCTGGGGGCACATTTAAAAGCCCAAAGGAAGATTGTTGAATTTATGATGATCCTTGTGATTACGTTGGAAAGTGACAAAAAAAATCAACCAAGGACTAGTGAAGCATTAATAAAACAACTATCTTCTTTTTGTGCAACTGGATTTACCAATAAACAGAAATAATATTCTCAACGGCGTTAATATCTAAATTCTGCCGTTTTTAACATCTCCAATGGCTCCCCAAACATCAAACAAAAACACATCAGGAAAAGCAAAATCTCCCAGAACAGAATCCAGAGCCTCAGCAAAGTCATCAGGGTTCTTCTTGTCCTTGCCTGCTTCCACTATGGTGGTGGCTGCAGAGAAAAGTTGAGAGGTTAAAGCTAATATCAAGTAGTGTATATATGGTTCACCAACAAATGCAAATCGGCAATAAAACATACAGCTGAATAATGAACTATGCATTTTCACTGCAGGATTTTGTAAAATGAAATGTATTTAATAGGTGCAATGAAAACGTCTAATTTTGCTTTGTGCCCTTTGGATCAGGACATCACAAGAAACACAAAAATTAAACAGGTCAGTAAACATGTGTTTTCCACAGTACGAGGACAGATTTCGACAGATTTCCAAGCATCTGACTTTTATTTGAGTCTCATGAGGTTCAGCTTTATGTGTTTGAGCCAGGATTGGACTTGAATGCAAGTGGCAACAGGGACAGTGATCATCTTAAGAACTTTAACTGTTGCAAATATTTTTGTTGTCCTATTGATTGATTGGTATTCATGGATAACACCAGCCTTAATATGGTTGACCTGTATTCTGCTTGTATCATCTTAAACCAATGGTTCCCAAACTTTTTCTCCTGGGCCCCCCCAGTGGTTTCCAAACTATTTCAAACAAACTATTTTTAAAATTGTTTGACCAAACTCAACAATGAGTTATGCTACAATGAGCTACAATGAGGAAGCATTGAAGCAAATACAATGCTACCTCATAAAATGTATATAACCTTCTGATTTTGAAGACATTAATGAATAAATCTGACATATTCTTTCTTGTGTGATTGCAACATTTAGCAATTGGAAATAATTTTCCTAATTCTGATTGACTTCAAACAAGAGATGTTCAGTCTGATTTAACTTTAACTTTAACTTTAAAGAGGAAAAAAAGTGATGTGTATTTTTTTCTTGTATATCATTCTTGTTTGTCCACTTTGATGACTGTTAACTGGTGACCCAAACTATGAAGCTGCTTCACTGTTTGTACTTGAACTTGCAATGCTAATATGTCATGTCCTTTTTATTGTGTGAACAGCTTTTACAACATGTCAAATTCAAGGTTAAAAATGTGAAAGCAATGTAAATGGACAAGAAAGTGCTGACATACTTTGGCAAAAAAAAAAAAAAAAAAAAAGGGGGAATAAAAGAAATAAGTGGGGTTTTACTTCTATAAACAGCATTTTAAAAACTTTGCAAAGCACCTTACACTAAGCACACAAACCACGATTTCTTGGTTTATGTTTTGATATCTATTGTGAGCAAGTACCCTATGTCAACATGAGGATAAAGTTTACACAAATAGATATCAGTTGTTTTTCTGTTTAGTCTTACCCAGCTCCAGGTCTCTGATCCCCATATAGCTCTCCAAGAGATCGTCCACTTTCCTTGTGGCCTGTTCTTCGAATTCACTCTGCTAGGGAAATATATGGAAAAATAGAGGCATCTGCTGAAATATGGTGACAAAGGTCTTAAGAAACTGCTATAAATTCTCTTGCCAAAACAGTTGAGGCCCGGAAAGGTTTTGCAGTTATGTTTAACTTTAAGTAATATAAATATGTCCATGTTTGTAGAGGACTGTACTTTATGTGTAGACATGCAGAGGCAGTGTTAAGAGTGCACAGTGAATGGTTGAATAAGCACATTGTTGAAAAAGACTGATAAAGCTTTTTAACCTTCATAAAAACAATTTGGTCTACAATACACCTTAAGATTATGCCGAACCTCTGTACTTCTGTGATGAAAAATTGTTTCCAGTTTATGCTCCCTCAGGTCATTGCACTGTTGCTCTAATTTTCAGCAAAAACAAGTACATTAAGACAGAAAAAGTAAAGTAACAGATTTAAAAAAAAAAAATCTGTGATTTATATGTCTATTTACAGAAATATATTTGGTGCTTTCTGACCATTTCAGGAGGCCTCAGCAGTCATTGTCTGACAGTTCATGTGAAACTCACCACTTCCTGAACTGTAGCAGCCCCCTTAGACCGAAGCCGAAGAGTCTCTCTCCCGTTCACCAGCTTTCCCTCATTAGATTTTGGCGCTTTAGTTCTCATTCCAATCATGTCTAGTCACATAAACAGAGAGACTGTCATCAATAAATTATGATTATTTCCGCTGTTTATGTTTACAAAAAATTTTTCAGCACAATCATCCACTAAACTCTCTAACTTAGTCATCATCTTTTATTTAAAAGCATCATTAAAGAAATTTGCTGTTATTTTACCACAGAACTGGTGTAATGGTTGTTTTGCCATCGACTTTGGGCTCTGTTCTTATTATTTATCAAGAGTACATTCTTGTGAGAGCAAAGCTGGACATCATCACACACCTACTTCCATATTTGGATGTCCACCGTTTTTGAGATGTTCTCAAGAAGACGTGAGACATTTCACTTGGGAATGGTAAGGAGTTTTTTTTACAGACATCGAAAAGTTTTCACACACGGAAAAGAACGACCACGCAAAGGAGGCTTGAGCAGCATTCAGATGACATGATGCCTGTATTTATTTGTGATGTACATTATGAATTGCATCATTTTCTTTCCTTATGTCACTGCAATGTAATCTTTCATGTTTTTAATCATATAAAGCAACACTTTGTATTGTCTTGTTGCTGAAATGTGAAACAGAAAAAGTTCAATGTCAATTTTAAATAAATACAAGGCACAGCTTTTTCACTACTGAGATGTTAAACCCAAAGTGTGCTGGATATAATTTGTACTTAGTGCAGGCGTTGTCTTGAATTGTGATTATATTGTTTAATGTTTGTATGGATTTGAGGTATTTATATATATTTGTTGATTATGACATAGCAACAAATAGTATTCTATACCTTTTCTTTTTAGCAGCGCAGATATGTTGAATATTGGTATCTTTGTTGTTTTTTGTTTTTTTTTACACTCATTTAAAATTATGTTCTCTCAAAACAGAGCATGTGCCTCAGTCAGATTGTTCTAAAATTTAATTTTTTACTTCTATGAAAAATAGTTTATGCGAAACAGTTGAGCAAATAGGTGGAGACATACCCCAAACAATTTCTGTTGTAGCTGTAGACCATTAATCTGGAGACAAAATTAACATGCGAGCTACATTTTTCCAATTAATTATCCTAAAAATGTTTCAAAACCACGTAGCAATAATTTTACAAATTTTTTATTTTTTTTTACAATTTTAGCAAATGTTACACAATAAGTTAAACTTTTTAAATAGATTTAATTTCACACATACTGATATGCTCAAGGCTTTCTTTTTGCTAATAGTAATTATCCACTTATAGCTAAAGAAGAGACAACATTTAAGATGAGAGTATTGCATTAGACCAGTAAAAAAAAAAAGCATTTTTTCATACCAAAATGTGGACTTTTGGTATCAAAAGCACATTCAATATCAGCTTAAAGGTTGTTATTTTCAAAATTTACTTTTTGAAAATGTACTCAATGAAGCACTTATTCTAATTTACAGTCTTTACATTTTTTTCTGTTGAGGTCAGAAAATCAGTACAACATATCTGTGACACAGAAGCACAAATAAACTCATTAGGTCAGCTGAGTTTAACTAATCAATGAGGCTACAAACAAATGATGTTATTCAAAACAGAAATGTGGGCTTGTTTACTTTTCTGTATGTGGGAGAGCGGAGGATTTGCACGTTGGGGGTTCTCCCAAGAGACTTAGCATTCCAACCGTTGCAATTTCCTGCTCTCTAAACAACTCTAAATGCTCACACTCAAGCACCATACCAAAAAGAGTCTTCATGTAACGTACAGGTGTTAGTATGCTTTTTGTGCTGCTTTGTGGAAAACAGAAATTACTGGAGGTTGTAAAGTGACCAATGGCTTGTGACAGCTCACATACAAACTAACAGAAGGTAAAGGCTAAAACCTGTATGTTAGCTTACAAGCAAGGACAAGAGAGGATAAGGCAGTTCTGCACATAGCTGTCACTCAATCCTTCATCTCCATGTTACTTGTGGTCATTTGCTGTTCTTGGAATCCCTGGACAACTAAACATGATCAGTTTCCACAGATCATGTTTTTTTTTTNGCAACAGGGACAGTGATCATCTTAAGAACTTTAACTGTTGCAAATATTTTTGTTGTCCTATTGATTGACTGGTTGTCATGGATAATCACCAGCCTTAATATGGCTGACCTGTATTCTGCTTGTATCATCTTAAACAATGACCTGATTGACAGTGAAAGTGAACACAGTTCGAACTTCAGAACTCTGACGTATTTGCAAATGAACTCTGATTACAGAGTTCATTTGCAAATACATTATAATATACGAAATTGTTTGACCAAACTCATGTAGCAAATACAATGCTACCTCATAAAATGTATATAACCTTCTGATTTTGAAAACATTAATGAATAAATCTCTGACATATTCTTTCTTGTGTGATTGCAACATTTAGCAATTGGAAAAATGTTCCTAATTCTGATTGACTTCAAACAAGAGACGTTCAGTCTGATTTAACTTTAACTTTAACTTTAAAGAGGAAAAAAAGTGATGTGTATTTTTTTCTTGTATATCGTTCTTGTTTGTCCACTTTGATGACTGTTAACTGGTGACCCAAACTATGAAGCTGCTTTACTGTTTGTACTTGAACTTGCAATGCTAATACGTCATGTCCTTTTTATTGTGTGAACAGCTTTTACCACATGTCAAATTCAAGGTTAAAAACATGAAAGCAATGCAAATGGACAAGAAAGTGCTAACATAATTTGCAAAAAAAAAAAGAAGAAAAAAATAACTTGCTCCCAGTGGACACATTTGCATACAAATACAAAGTGTGGTGGTTCTTTAAACTGCATCTTAAAAACGTGGCAATGCACATTACACTAAGCACACAAACCATGATTTCTTGGTTTATATTTTAAACCATTGAGGTGTAATAAACATTATTGGTCTTTACTGAACAGCTGGATTTCTATTTTAAATTTGTGAACTTTGTTTACTATTTTGATTACTCTGGAGATAATTGGTTCCACTGGGATGTATTTAGTGCAGGGGTAAAAGAGGCTGAACACAAATTCATGTTTTTTTTCTTTTCTTCTTTGAATGTAAAGCTTTGCAAACACTGTATCCTTTCATTCAATTTCACAATCCTATTATGCTATTCTGTTGGACTACATCAAGAAAGCAAATCAGGAACTATTAACAAGAGTTCTGGAATAACGTTAAAGTAATTCTTGTTTGCACTTTGTTCTTTCAAACCTCATGTTAACTCCACTGGATAAGACCCAGAGTAGACTTTGATATGGTCTGTGTTGTTCCACTGCCTGCATTATTTCTATGCCCTTATCAGGAAGGATTGCGGACACTTGGTGTCATGCCAGCCAATCTGGTTTCAGTCATCTGTTTATAGGTGGACTTTACACATTGTCGGGAAAGAAATGGTGACTTATTTATTTTTTTGTTGTGAATTTTGTGATTCTTGGCATTCCTTTAGTAGCTTTTCAAATAGAGACAAAAGGAACATTTGTTTTCTCTTTTTGACCCCATTTGACAGTTACTGCCTCCCATTTCTCATTTACTGCTAAATATTCTGTAGGTTTTCTTTGCCGAGATGATAAAATGTTCCCTTTTACAAACACTGACACATGTAGAGAACTAGGAATTTTAACAATGGCAAGTGAGAAATGTTTCCTCCCCTACATGAACTTTCCTGTGTATAATGCCAGAGCCCTTCCCCTTTGTTTTCCGGGGAGGAGTGGTGCAAGTTAAAGGAAATGTAGCCAGAATGAGACAGATGAGTATCTTAGCTGCGGCAGGAGTGAACACAGCCCGCAAAAGGAAGTGAAGATGATTCTGAATAACTGTTGATGCCCTGCAGTGTTGCTGCATTTTCAGATCAGTCATCACTTGAGACTTTTCTGTTTGCACTGTTTGAATTACTGTAAACAGTCATAGAAGAGCATAGGAATGATTCGGATAGCGGAGTAAAAACTTCCCTGAGCATTCTGGAGACCACGTTTGTTATGGTAAGTCTCTTTTCTAGTATTTAATGTGTTTGTTTATGTGCTTTTCAACAGAACAGAACCCTAAATTATTTGAATTTTCCTTTGAGCATGTGTGCTTATACCAAGATGTGTTCAGTCCTATTTTATCATTTACTTTCATTTTGTTGTTGTCAGTAGTCAGAGGTAGAGGAAATGTGAAAAAAAAAAAACTGAACACATTTGACTGTATGTCAGAATAACAAACCCACGCTCTTCCTCTTTGTATAGTTTGTTTTTAGTTAGATTCATATGATGTTTTAGTATTAAAGCAAGCAGCAGATCAAGCAAGAACACCGCCTGATTACATAACCTGTACATTCTTAGACATTTCATGCATGCCGTCACAAGTGAAATGTCTGAAATCTTCTGAGGGGTTGGTCATGTAGATTTTAGTTGATATATTTTGGATCATCCTTTCATCATTCCTGTTTGAACAGGGTAGGTACAAGACAAGATAAGCAATAAAATCAGACTTTTGAGTTGATATCGCTGATTATGCTTAACAACACAAAGTGAAAATGGCTACCATGGTAAATCAATCCTGTAATTTAAAGCAAATGATGATTGTGCAGACACAAACAGATTTTCACGCTGAAGTTTGAAAAACAAAACAAAAAATGTTTAAATGCCGTTTACAGCCTTTATAGACACCTAACTCTTGTCTTATAGAGTGAATATGAAAAATTGTATTATATTTTTAAATGTAATACAATTTGTATTATATAAATTGTATTATATATTAATACAATTTATATATCATAATATAATATATATTATAATGTATGGGTCCCAAAAGGGACAAGGGTTCACCTGTACCCTTGTCCCTTTTTGGACAAGGAACTAATGCATAATGGGCAGAAGGGATGTCTTGAGAATTTGTTTACATTCTCATTTTACTGACTATGTTTTGTTGTCTTGTTATTTTGCAAAGTGTGGAAAATTAATTAAATAAATAAAGACATTGTGAGAAAATATGCATTGCCTGTGGTTGCAGACCTTTCATGTTTCTCATTTGACCTGAAGTACAATATGTTTGATGATTAGTTTTCCCATACTGATTCTC